AAAAAAANNGAGGGTGTTCCAAAAAAGCACCCTGTTTTTTTTTTTTTGATTGTTTGTTTTTGTTTTGTTTTTTGTTTTTTGTTTTTGTTTTTTTCTAGAAACTGCCAGTTCTGAAGTTGCAGGCAGACATTTGGGTTTCTGACTTTGACTTCTTGGAGAGGTCTCCATTTCTCTCCTGGGTATGCTGTGAGAAAAAGATATGCAGAAGTTAATGCAGTTAGGATAGCTTTTCCATAGGATAGCTTTCCCTAAAGAATTGTATCACACTTGCTGCATTTGTTGCGGATTAGATGGGAGCACTGAATAAGTACCTTTGGGAGAAGCATGTTGTCTCTCAGTTCTCAAATATATACGCATTCAATATATGTATTTAAATTTCCTTTTTTCATAATAGTTCCCAAAGGGAAACTTTGCTTCCTTCAGCATTTCTTTCAGTGAGGAAGGTTGGTTTTCAAATACTGTACATTAAAAAAAGGTTGCTTATTACTGAAGCTTTATTACTAATACGCGGAAAGATTATAACTGTTAGCTGAAGGAATTTTATTTAGATTTATAGAACTTCTAAAGGTGCAATAACCATGCTAAGTGTTTTCTAATAGGCTGGTGGGAAAATGTCTTTTGTACTTGTTCTTGGTTCTTTAATGCTGAATGCATCTCCTAAACTATTGCTAAGATTATTTTAATTAGTTTCCAACTGTGTTGAATTGGGACAAAGATATGTCATAGTAGGTTTTCTTAGCATGTGATTATTTAATGATAGGCGGTTCTGAATGAAGGCACCTAGCTGGGTGGTAACAAATGGCATGGTTTCTGTTGGCTTCCAATGGCTGATGGATGAACTTCTGCTTAACTTGCCAGGAGTGGCTTCATTTTACCCTGGTAAGTGCAGAAATCCACAGTGGTGACAGCAATGGAGTGCTGTTCTGGCTGAAGAGAAAGCACTGCTTGGAGCTAGCAGCCTTGGTTTTCTGCTAAACATATGGAGAGAGGGTAGGACCCAGGTGCATAGGTTGCAGAAATAGGGCCTATATGCTGAGTAAAGGACACCAGAGAGCATCCCATAGCTATGGCTCCCTCGTCCCCAATGCTGCAGGGGTTTCTGGGAGGTGTCATGTTATCCTTGTAGCCTATTGTGTAAGCACTCTTCAATTAATTTATTTGTGATGGTTGCCTAATGAAAAATAACAGTTCTATAGAAGAAGATGACTGTAGCTTTTCTCTTGCAACATTTAAACTGGGAAAAAGATGAGAGACAGAAAAATGGGGTACTTGATTTAATTTCCTACAGCACTGAACAGACCTAGACTTTGAGGCAGGCCTGTCTTGCACAGGCGGTTGGAGAGAGGAATTTACCTTGTTTTTAGGCAGCTTGCTCTTGAGAGACAAAGAAAGGGTGTGAAATCTTCCAGCTCCTAATGATTTCATGCTAATTAACAAGTAATGACTAGTAAGGAACAATAGAAGAAAGCAGTAAAGAATCCGAGCAATATAAACTTAAAAGCCTATAGGTGCAAAAAGAAACCCACATGGTGTTAAAGCTTGGTGGGTTCCCATCCTCTGTAAAGTTTATGCTGTTACATTTTCACTTAGCTAATATTTTAGAACCATTTGGCTGTGATTTTCTGTTACCAGTGTAGATTATTTGGTGAGGGTTAGAGCCAGATGGGAGCATAATAGCCACTGGTAGAAGAACTTTCTGGATATTCATTTTCCTTGTACAACCTGGAAGAGAATGCATGCTTTGTTTGAGGTTACCACAATGCCTGGTCTGTTGAGCAGAAACAAAGGAAGCTGAAATGCCATTGACAAAGGAAGGCTTTGGTGACACCAGGGTGACAAAGTTAAATACTGCTTTACAAACAGCTCTTTCTGCAAGACAATACTGTCTTTGGGGGGGAATATGGTACACTTCTAAGATGTCTGAGCTAATTCTCAAAGCTTGAATTGCACTAGGAAATGTGAAATCACACATTCGGTGTAAGGAACAAGGATTGGGTTGAAGCAGTGATTGCAGTAAGGCTAAGCACTCTTCCAGGGATGGTTTTGTCAGTGCAGACTGAAATGTTTCAGGTTTAGTATCCTGATATCCTGTTGCACCTGTCTACATGCTAGTGACTTTCTAGCAATGATAATTTCTTACTTAAAGGGCGTATTAAGCCCAACTCTTACTGGAGACTCAACAAATTTATATTTTTCTCCTCCATTTCTTCATGATGAGGTCAGTGGCAATGTGCACATATCCAACCACACTGCCTCTGGTGGATGCTTTGACCAACTAAAATTTAGCATAGTTCCTGGGTGCCCCCTGTGGACTTGTATGCTGGCAATGAACATCTATTTAAAAAAACAGTATAGAATTCTGGCATTTTCCTTTTTTTTTTTTTTTTTTTTTTTTTTTTCTAATTTGATATATAAATTAGGATGTTGTCCACAATTCTAGAGACAAGAAAGTGAAAGATTAGGTAGACTTTCAAGGGGATGCCCTGAGCAGAAGGAAGAGTTTCATGTTTAACGATAAGACCAGTTGTGTGAACACTGAAGTGCTCCTTTTCAAGATCCTGTCCCCTCACATCTGTTTGGCAAAATTTTGGAAAGTCAGTGCTCTGGTATTGCCCGTTCCGGTTAGTTCTGATACTCTGGTTGCGGATTTCCTGTTCTAAATGAGCTTGAGATTTATATTCACTCACCCACACTTCCTGCTCTTATGCAAGGCAGCTGGAGCTTAAGGTACCAAGTAAACATTTCAGTGTGTCAAGCTTCACTATTTCTGCTTTTGCTGAAGTACGTTTAGGTCATAACCTTTTTTAGAAGTTCAGTGTAAACATAACACGTAGATGGTATCTGCTGTCAGCTGAAGTAGATTCTCCTTTGAGTTGTGAGCAAAACCTCAGTTTTGATGATAAACTTACCTGAGGCTTGTATACAAACCTTGTTTCATCTTCAGATGTGAAAACTGATTGCAGATGAGGGTTCTCCACTTCCTTTGGACTTTCAAGTCAAATGTATGTGGTGAGGCAAAGGTGTATGGTGTTCAGGAGGAGGAAAATATATTGATCTGGCGCTGCAACTAATGCTTGAGAGATTCTGAGGGTCAGAGCTGAGGTGGAATGGTGCAAACAGTGGTAAAGCAAATGGTAGGGCGTGCTGCTGGCTGGGGAGATATGGAAATGGTAGGCAAACTGGAACGTGGTGATGATGGTCATCAAAACTTGTTAAGAGGAGGAGTGAGGGGTATAACAGTAAAGAAGATGATACACGTGTTTTGCTGTTTGGTTTAGGAATGAAGATACTAGAATGAGCAGAGTGCAGTCAGATGAGGCCAATTTGTGATTCAAACACTGGGTATGGCCAAATGTGACTGGGAATTCAATATATGGAATGAAGCAAGAGAAAGGCAAGGTGTATGGGAGGGAAAGTGAGCGGGAGAAGATGAAGAATTTTCTGTACAAAAGAACTTATGTTAGGGGAGCTGGTTGGGGGTGGAGGTAGGCCTCAGCGCTGCCTTTGACTGGTATGTCAGCTGAGATGAAGCTTGGTGTGAAATGTGATTTGATTCCTCTGATTGAATGGTGGTTAGCAGGCAAAGGAATGTGAAGTTGATGGCAAACACATTTTCAGACTATAGGAATTAGTGCAGTGCCACAGGAGAAGCCTGCCCTGCCCTCAACCCCTGCTGCACCAGCCCTTGAGAGATGGAGAGTAAGGGCAGGAGTGAGATGTGGGTTGTCACTGGTGGGCAGAAATGGAATGCAAACCTCAACAGTCTGAGGGAAAACATTCTGGTAGCTTTGCCCAAGGCAGTGGCTTCCCAAATACGCATATGGGAAAGGCAGGAAGTTGGTGGAAACTGAAATTAAGGATGATGTTCCTGCACAGATGCAGCACCTGGGCCCTGCTCCAGGGGTGTGTGAGTTAATTCAGCCTGTGTGGAACCATGCTCAGTGAAGCTGCTGGATGCAAGACTGTACTCTAAAAGCCTTGCTAATAAAAAGTGTATTTAGTTTGTATACTGTGTGCATCTCCTTCCTGTGAGCAATGTGAACTAAGATGGTTCTAAAAAAAAAAAAAAAAAAAAAAGCAGATCCGCAGCTCCTCAGTGTTCATTACTCTGAAAAATGAAAGTGCTGTAGATAAAGCTTCTGTTTTTTTTTATCAAAAAAATATAGCTATAAGCAGAACTCAGTCAAATGTGCTATGCTTTCAGGTTGTGGTTTGGATTAGAGAAAGCTTAGAGGTCCAAGTTAGATTAGTAAATGTTTTTTAGTTGCAGATGTGAAGTTAACCCCATACAAGCTTACTAAGAGAAAAAAAAATATGTTCATCTGAATATTGAAACCACAGGGCAGAAACCATCTGTAAAACCAAAGCATGCAGCAGCAGTTGTTCTGAACTACACAATGCTCAGTAAAATGCTACGATTCAGGTAAGGTTACTCTGTATAGAGATACGATACAGGGAAATTAAATGTGTGAGTACAAATCTCTCCAAGGAGAGAACTGCAGCCCCAGAGCAGCAGCAGTAATTTCTAATACAGTGGGAGAAACAAGGAAACCACCTTTCCCAGTAAAGTAGTTTCCCAGCTGCCTGTGAAAGACTGCAGAGAAATGTTGGCACAGAGAAAACATCACAAGGTTTATGAGGAACCCTCCAAGTACTTCTATGTAGGTGCTCACCTAATTGCATGATGGCTGAGTCTATCAGTTCTATGATGCTAAACTGAAAAAAAGAATCAAGGCTGCTAAATCAACTACCTGGGGAACTGGATGTGAGAAGCCCTAACTGCTATAATGTGAACACAAGAGTGGTCTCAGCTGTGCCTCTGGGGCTGCTCAAGTTGCAGTCTGAGTAGCAGAAGACTTGGCTTTTTACATTCTTTTATAAGGCCCATGGTATGTTTTATTAGGAGTTTCTCAAGAAAGAAGAGGTTTTTTTCTATTGATTATATACAGAGGTAAACAAGCTTTCTGAAGGATCTTGTCCATTTGATATTCTGCTTAATAACTGCTATCAAAAAGGTCATCATCAGCAGTCTGCAAGGACTCAGATCCATTAGAACAGAGAGCTTTAAACATAAAAACATGGAAATTTTGAGATAAGAAAAATTCACCTTGAGAGTACAACAAATAATATAATATTAAGTACATCTCTTCCAGCAAATACTTCAATAGCTGAAGAACCATTAAAGGTGGTGGGTGGATGAGATCTGCCCTTACTGTGATGCAAGTTACAGTACCAACAAACCTTATGGCTATCTGCTGAATTCAGAGTTATCGATCTTCCAGTTTGTGTATCATTTTGGCCATCCCTGAGCAGTCAAGGATCCATAAAGACAAAAATGAGGAACAACTGTTTTTTGAACACAGAATATTTTTTTGTCTGAGACCATGTAACCAGTTTGACTTCAGGGTAATTGCTACTGACATACATAGATCTTGGGGCATTGTTCTTCAGAGTTAAAACATGACATAGTGGTTTGAAATAGCCTAGTTCACCTTGACTGCTGTGTTAAAGATTCATTCACAACACATAAGAAAAGCAATCCTACCACCTTATAAACAGTGACAGAACTACTGTTCATCTTCATCACAGTTTTATGTAAGTGAGCAACCTCAAGGCTTTTTGAGCTGAACTTAAGTATGATGAAGAAAAGCTGATTTATTTCCAGCTCCAAAATCTTTTAGAACAGTAGCACTAATACTTGTTCTACTTAATGAACCACTGAGAAGGCTACCATCATTAGGCATTAGCTACACTTAAGTCTCTTAATAGATTCCTAACTCTTAAAACAATATCCCTGAAAAAGAGCTCAAGAATTCAATTAACTTCCTTTTCTCCCTCTTGAGACCAGCTCCTTTGATTTCTCTTGGCCTGAATTTTCAAGACCGTAAAAATGACATTATTTCAAAAAGCAACAGCGTTTATTTGGCTTCCCTGCCACAACCTGATCTGGAATTTTCACCTTTTTTCTTCTTTCATTGATGGAAAAGCTCCTACAATCCTAAAAATCAGGGACAAGTCCCTACAAGCAGTATTTGGACAGCTGTTATCTACTGACATTGGTATTCTATTGAAAATAATGAGTAGTAACTGTCAGCTCAAAGAGGGGAGTAGTTCACGCTTCTCAACCTGAAGCATACTTCTTTTCTGTTAAATGAATCTTATATAAAAAATATCCTGAGTAGCTCAGAAAGTAGAACTGATCATGTCCCTTGAAAGGAACAGCACTCTGCACTTAACAGTTAGCACAAGACTTACATGCAATTCCCTTAACTACAGTGTCCTATTGCATTTAAAAAAAAAATGAACACAAGTCTCATCATTGTGAAAATCATCAAATCTAGCCTTCCTCCTCATCTGTCTCAAGTTCTACTGCAAATGAAAACAATTTACAAATTTATACTCTGGAGAAATTAATAAAGCTGATTTGGCCACTCTGCACATAGCAGGGGGGTTGAAATTTGATGATCATTGTGGTCCTTTTCAACCAGGCCATTCCGTGATGATTCTATGATGATTTTCGTGTGATACTATAGGAAAGTATATAAACTCCTGTAAAATGATTGTCATCATGTAGCTTTTTAAGAAGAATTTGTGTAAGGAAGAAACAACAGCCATTTTCAAACAAACACAGTTCTTTTCTATTTGCAAAGGAAAGGGAATAGGTGGAGAAAGAAACAATCTTTGCCTCTCTCCCCTCTCAAAGAAAAAAAAAAACAAAACTGAACTGCTTGTTGCTGTTGTAAAATTTTCCTGAGTTTACAGGACCATTTCTAGCCCAGCTGAAGGACGTTCAAGCAAATACTGACTATTTGAATACTGATAATGAGGCAAGATCTCTCATTTTTTAATACAAAGGTTTGTTTCAATATTTGCCATCACAAAAAATTGGTGTTTATCTATAAACAATCTGTTGTTACCAACTTCAAGAAAAGGAAGAAGCTGGAGTTGATTAGTATTAAACTTGTGCCTGAGTAAATAAGAAACATTTAAGGTTTGGTGTAACTTCTTTGTCTTGATTATGCCTTCTTCAAAAACTTTCACCTTAAGGCAAAAGTGATAATAGACAAAAAGCTAATTAATTAACAAGGCCTTTCTAAAATTAAAAAAGCCTGATCCTAGCTTCCTTTCTTTCCCCTCTCATTCCCCCCTCCTCCCTCCAATAGTATTGACAAGTAAACATTAGAAAGAAGCTGCCTGAAATTAAATCCTAAATACATGCAGTATTTTCCTAAGCGTTACTCTGAAACAAAAACGTTAAGGTCTTGCATGTACAATCCTTGAAAGAAATTTTTCTTTTTCTGTAATAAAAGCAAGGTTTAAAAACAAGTCATACAATAACAGATAGCTCAGATAGTCATATATGTGTATATATTACATGTTGTAACCAGCAAACACATCAGTGGAGCAGAAAGAATATTTTGATACAGAATTGCTGTAAATTCAGGTCACAATTTATCTTCTCCTTTTCACATTGGGATCATATCTGCAACAAAAAAGAAGTTGTCACAAATAAGCATGGCTCCATGATATTTAAATTTAAGAATGCAATGCAAATGATTTTATTATACAGTTATAACGAGGGATTAGGCAACGTTCAGTCCTTTACCAGATATCTGTGATTAATTATTGTTGCTACAATTTGACTGAAGAGTGGAGAAGTTATACCTGTGCATGAGCTGAAGGTAACACTCTTCCCTGGCTCCTTTCCTAGCTACTCAAAATCTTTCTATCTATTCCACACACAAGCAAGATTCTCCAAGCCTGAAAAGTAACTCAGACATCCTGCAAAAAAATCCAGAGGCCAGGGGTGGAAAAGTAGTATACGTTCACAGCAATCTACATTTGGCCAAAACTCATTCAGCAAAAATCCTTCTATTGCCTCCTACACCCATACAGCAACTCCCTGTTTTATCTTCTTTATACAGCTTCTGATTGACTTCTAGTTACTAGTATCTACTTTCTGGAAAAAAAAAAAGTTTTCTGAGTTACAGTAATACGTTTATGATTTTCCTGTGCTACACCCCTTGGCCTTCTTTTTCTCCATTTGTGCTTCACTTCCCCAAATCCTATGTCCCTTCTTTGAAATTCTGATAAGCTTTGTACTCATGCGTGAATAACTTATGGATACAACAAATGATCAGGCAGTTTTACTTCCACTAATTCTGAGCTCATTCATCAGGACTTTTTTTGCTTAGGCAGGAAAATGTCACAACTTCTAAGCCAAATTACATCACCGTATAATTACAAAGCTATTATAGAAGTTACTGCTCTAACACATGAAATGTGCATCCTTTGAAAGCAACATTCTATTATTAACCATTAATGAACAACACAGGCTATTAATACAGCTTTTCTGAATGGTCTGTACACGTTAATACTCAGTATGATGTCATTTTGACAATCATTTGGATAAACACCACTTTCTTCACAATCTACACTTTTCTACCAAGATATACAGTTTTTAGTGTTTGTCAAATGCATGTCAGGTCAGAAGACACAAAGTGGCTTCTTGCTTCTTCACATAAAAATAAGAAAATAATTAAAGCTTTGCTAACCAAAATGAGACCCTAATACTCAATCTCATTTCATTTCATTGCTGTAACACTGTTACAAATGAATTATAACATTTAAGGATGTCCTGGACACCAAAACATATTTAGAGGTCTTGAAGAACCGATAAAATCAGAGGAGACATTCCATGGTGTCCAGCTTCAACCCCATCTGAGACTGTCTATGGAGAAGATGACACTGACCATCATGAACACCTTTCTATTTAATCCCCCATCTCACCTGCAGCCATTTTTCATGCTAAAACAGAATGAAATTAAACAGTATCTTAGAAAGGAAACTCTACAGTGCCTGTGGCTTGGACCAGAAAGAAAGCTACAAAGATTCCATCGCTGGCATAAATGTACAAAGAAACAAAAGGCTTTGCTGGGAAAAGGGAATGAAGGGCACAAAGGGGTGTTACCAAGGATAATCAATTTATTTGTAGTCTCAGCAGAAAGATATTTCCTTCCCTTCTGCTTCTGTTTCTCTCTGTACTGAATCAAAAGTAGATGATGGTACAGATTTTCTTTCCAACTCATCTTTACCTTGGAGCACGACTGTTGCTAATTTCATCTACAAATGCAATTTTCAGGGGAAATTGCAGCTGTTAACATTAGCATCACACCAACAGTTTTGCTCAGGATTAAGGACAAAATTAGAAGTAGGTTACAATCTGAACATTAAATTACATGTTTGAGTATTTTTGGAAACTTCGGTACGTGCCACTATCCCAAATAAATTGGAACTAAGGTCAAAACTGTTCAAAGTATGAATGCACGTGAATTATCTAAGCTTCCACTGCTTTTGAAAGGTTCAAATTAATCAAGATGCTTCAGATAAGTTAATTTTCTAGCACAGCAATCAAGCTGCACTATGTATTTATATAAACATATTCGTAATTGTCATGCATTTAAATGGACTGCAGACATAAAACCATAAAATAGCAAACTTGGCCTAGAACATCAGGAAAGCAGTTATAGATCGTTGAAATTTAAGATTAGAGTTGAAAGTGACCAGACAAGAAATCAATTGAATAAGATGATTTTCCATACTCTTTCAAAAGAGAGATGAGGAAGAGTGGTAAGCAACTGAAACAAGGGTTAATGGAAGAAAACCACTAATACAATGAATTATGCCAAAAAGCACAGGAAACTTAACATTTGGATGTATTTATACATTGTTAAGTTTTTGGGAGTCATTACCTCAAAGGTTAAAAAAGATCATTCTGATGATCACTTCTTTCACAGAAATATCATTCCATTGCTTTCACTCCCTCAGCACAAGACAGACAAGTACCAGGGCTAGCACTAAAGTCACAAACTCCAGAACTGTTTCTCAGGAATTCAGATGACTGGCTTAAATCTAACACCAAACTGTTTCATCAGGCAAACACTAATGGCAAAGAGCTTGACTCTGGATATTTCTTCCAGTCTTTGTGAATAATCAATCAGAGAATCACGCAATATCCTGAGGAGCTGAAAGGGACCCAAAAGGATCACCAAAAGTTCAACTTCTGACTCCACACAGAACTAAGACATGAGACAGGAAATGGCAACATTCTCGTTTGAGAATGTTCTTTTAAAAATATTATGGTAATTCTGAAGTGGAAGTTTAAAGCAAAAAAAAAAAACAAAAAACAACTGAGAGTTGCAATTGAAAGTTACCTTGAGTATAATTCCATACATGGAAATACATGAGATTTTGAAAAGAATAGGCAAAAAAATAGCCTTTTGCAGAACTGGCTTTGTCCAAAAAAAAAAAAGAGACACGATGAAAGATACATCTTTTCTAAACATAAACATAAACCTCTTACCTAAAGAGATCATCAGCAAGTGATTCTTCTCTTGCACGTCGATTCTGTTCCTGAAAAAGTAGGATTTTTCAACACTGTATATTAAGAACTAACATATTTTTTCCATGCAAACTTCAGTTCATGATGGATAATATATTTCATCAGTCAAGGCTGGCTACTGTTGCCAACTAGCAGATCAGTTTGTGAATTGGTCAGAAATTAGCTTTCTGTTTTTCAAGGCATTATAGAAATAGGGGAAATTTTGTATGATTAAAGGGGGACAAGGGAAATTTCAATTAGCATTATCTACATCCAGGAACAAAAAAAAAGAGATAAGCAATGGGATTTGATCAGGCAATGAAAACAAAGTATGGATCATCAGCAAGTATTTTTGAAGAAAGTACTGGAAAATGACAGTGTTGGTGAAGTGCTGGCATAAAATTGTAACTTCTATGTAAAAAGGGGAAAAAAGCATAAAACTTCCCAGTGCATTTCTTATTATATTGCAACAGAATTTTACTCAGGTATTTTCTGTTCTGTTCAAGAGAACACAGAATATCAACTGCACATTGTAAAAATTTAAACAAAGATTACTACACAAAAGTTCTTCCTGCCTCTCTGTCACATCTGTAGGAACCACAACTTATCATCCTGCTTATTTTAGTTACTAAAAACAAAACAAAACTCTTTCACGTTACTGATTTTGATTTAAATCATTATTACTGATTATATGAATTCTTAATGTTCAATGCATTCAAATTATCAGCAAAAAAACCCACCAAAACCAAAGCCTTATCTCTGTCTTCTGGATTTCAGTAATGTTTCTAATGCACACGTAACAGCTAATTGGCTGAGCTTTATTTCAAAAGTAAAATTTCCAAGTATTTCAGAAATGACCACAGGTCAGTATGACCATGTTCAGCAGTGAAGTTTTGGTTTTGCTCATTTTTGAGAAAAAATTCCTTACCTCCAATTCTTCTCTTAACCAGTCTTCTAGTTCTGAATTCTTTCTAGTTTGGTGAGCAACCAAATCTGATCCTCCAATAATGTATGGAAGTTGCCCAGCTCCTGGATAAGGGACCTGGAGACAATAAATTCTTAAAGATACAATGCAAGGCAAGCATAATGCAGGAAAAAGTTCAGCAATGAAAGTAAGTCTTTCTCTGAATAACATTAATCAGACATTATACTTTTTTGAGACTGAAGGGAAAAAAGTATTTATTGCAAGCTACTGATTCCCTTCTTTTGCCAAAGGAAACAAAAAAATAGCTGATAAATATGATATACATTAAATGAAATCTGAAAAACATTATAAACTGATTTTTACTGATAGAATCTATTTTACATCAAGATATATAAACATCTGTTACAGAAGGATGGCAACAAAAATACTATCAGAAATTTAAAATATTTTCTAAAATGACTGCTTACTCATAGATAGCTGGAAGCTTCATTATTTGATGAACAGTATTATATTTGAGTGAAATGCAATTGCAGTGATCTTAAGCCATATATCCTCACTAGAAATATTTATGGCATATATACAAATATATTTGTACTTATTTTTAATATAAAGAGGTACTTTTACACTAGACACTAAGAATTTTCTTAAAGTTATCCTCAGGAGCCAAGCAAGCAATAGTCTTACAAAAGTAAGATAATAATTTCAGTTCCATTTAGAAATTCAAATGTTATTTTCTAAAATGCAAGATTCAGAATCAGCATATTCTCTTTGGAGAAGTTTAATTGCAAACTTCTGGAGGTACAACCTCAAGTTACACTTTTACTAAGGTTATGTTGGGCATCACTTAGCAATTTAGAATAAGCGGCAGCGTAGAAATTACAAGGATCTAAAGAATCTTTATCAACTTAGTACTTTCTGGTGAGTTAGAAAAATACTCATTAATAACAACAGAAAACTGTTTAGTTTTCTGTGATTATTATCAGTTAAAAAACATTCAGGATATTTTTTCTACAGTACCAAGGAATACTTCTACAGCATTAAGGAAATACTTCCAAACATTTTAAACAGTGCCATCTTGTGACCATTTCAAATACACACCTTTCTGAATGTTTTGAAATTGTTCTGTCCCTTGCATTTGGTATTCCTAATAGTCGGGCTGTTCGGTCTTGGACAGCTGACAACCAGTGATCGAAACTCAGTCAACAGAAGTTTGCTAGGAAGATGGCTGGAGTCATCTTCAAGTTTGTTGTGGTTCTTATATGGGAAGAAAAAGAATGGAGCACTTTTAAGTGTATAAAATGACATAAGATGTATCTCTCACAGCCTCCTCACATATTACCATCAGAGATTGATGCTATGTGAATTTATTTCTCCCATATTTACATCTGCTGAAAGCACAGGATTATTAAAAACTGCAGTCATAATCATGAGGTTAGTGCACCTCATTTTACTAGGATATTACAGAATCACAGAATGGCCAGGGTTGGAAGGGACCTCAAGGATCATGAATCTCCAACTCCCCTGCCACATGCAGGGCCACCAACCTCTCCGTTTAATACTAGACCAGGCTGCCCAGGGCCCCATTCAGTGTGGCCTTGAACACCTCCAGGGACGGGGCATCCACAACCTCTCTGGGCAGCCTGTTCCAGCACCTCACCACTCTCTCTGTAAAGAATTTAATATGTATATATTATATAGTATAAAATATATTTTTTTATTTCAATGAAGCTATTATCTAAGAATTACTTTTCTCCTCCACTCTGCCTCTAACCTGGACTAATTTAATTGTTTAATCTAACAGGATAAACATTGTTTGTTCTAACAGAAACTCCAAGGAAGAATATGTTGAATGTCTTCCACTCAATTCTAGCCTGCAGATTTAATTTTAGACAAACTCTGTCACGATAAACTGAATCTGATAAATGAAACAACTTTATCTTGTACGTGCAAACACTCATCTGTCAGCAATCTGCATGCATACTTTGCACCTTGGGGTTAGATCTATGTAGATTAAAAATGAAGTCTAGGTGGAAGACAAGTACACAGACTTACAATATCTTCAGAGACAGATCTAGCCCAGATACAGCACTGCTATTTTATTGTAATCTAAGATGACCGTGCACATTGGTATGTGTATGGGAACTGCTGAATCATGGCCTGAACCTCTGATTGATTACCTGAGGCGAGAAATGAGTCAGCCACAGGAGCACAGGTGATGGCAATTCACCTGTGCTGCCGGAAGGGGTGGAGCCTGGCTCCACTTCTCCTGGACCCATTTAAAAGCTGACTACCAGTGGAAAAGGATCTTTTCTAGAGATTCTTCCTCTGGAGTTTTGCAGTGAGTCCAGGATGAGGGTAAGCATTCTATCTATTTTTTTTATTATTATTATTATTACAAGCTACTGAGCCAAACTCTCTTGTTTATTTCATAATTATAACATCTTTATATTCATTGATTATACAGTATACTTGCACAGCATTTCCTTTTCTTGAATGGTACCGCATGCCCATGCTAAAAAAATAAAAATAAAATCCTGCTGCTTGTGGACTAACTACACTCTTCTCTCTACAGAATCTTTTCATTTCTGACGCACCACCATTCCCACCTATTCTCTTTCATTAATTCATCCTCCCAAAGTAATCTCACCTATAACAGTTAGTATGCTATTTACTATTAGCTAGTGTACATTACATCTATTTTCCCAATGGTCCATCTGTTTATTTTAGTTCTGACCTTCTTAGAGCAGCCAAGGAGATCCCATTCTTGTCTAGTCTTTAAGTAGTTACCCAACATAAACGTCTGTACCAGTATTAATGACACTGAAAAGTGAATACAATTACACTAGGTTTCTGTAATCTCAGTCATCTTAAATATCCATAAAAAAACAATTTTATTAAACACAAACAATAGTTCTGCTTTCAAAGAGTCATTAAATTGGCCCCATACTATTCAAATTTATGTGTGATTACTTTCAGGAGTTCTATCTCCAGAGTTTCCTTACCCTGAATTACGATTTCCCAGTATTACGTTCTTAACAGCAAAATTTTTGTGTATTTTCTTAATAATTCTCAAAAACAATAAATTTGTTTCTTACCGAGACCGATGATTCTTCCTTAATCTCACTTCTCTTTTCCGGAGTCAGAACTGATCCAACTTCATCTTTTCTCTATTGATTAAATGTGGGAATTAAACATAAATTACAGTGCTACAAATTAGATAAAATCACTTTCTGCCTTTTCTTGTGGAATAAGCATGTTTAGATCAATATAAATACATAGAAAATAAATCGTAATGAAGCACGCTATACTTAGAAAATTGTATGGTTTTATGTAAACTGTAATAAATCCGGTTTGGGTTATAAATGAGGACTTTGCTGGTTTGGTTTTTTTTCTTACACAAGTAGCAAATGTTTTGTGCACATCTTCAAAGTCCTGCCACGTTCTACAAAATACTTTAAAAGCTTATGAATATAATAAACAGTACAATTTTCAATTTCATTAAAGTGTGCATGTGTAGAAAGTAAATTTCACTGCTAGGACAGGAAAGCATTCTGTTGGTTGCTTTCATCTCAAAGGTTACATTGTCTCGCTTCTTCTAAATGGCTTCAGTTGTTGAAGATGATCAGGTCAGCTTTATGTACCCCATAGATTTTTAAGCCAGTTATCCACATCATCGTCTTGTGAGGCAAAGTATTTCTATGCTTAAAGAAAACAGGTAAGGTGCCTGTGTGGCATTATCATGAACCCTTCCTATTTCACAGAAAATGTAATTTATCTGAAGAAAACAGGTTTTTATTAATCAATTACAGAATCATAGAATGGTTTGGGTTGGAAGGCATCTTAACATCACCTAATTCCAACCCCCTGCTATAGGCAGGGACACCTCCCTCTAGACCATGTTGCTCAGAGCCCCATCCAGCTGGCCTTGAATGCTTCCAAGGAGGGGGCATACACATCTATCAGAAGACTTTTTCTCAGCAAAAACTTAGTGTGCATAATTAAAATAATAAAAGAACAACTTAGTTAAACTTAAGAATTCTTCTTCCCTTACAACTCTAAAAGATCAGATGAACAAAACTTCTCAGATCATAAAAAAGCCTAAGACCGTACCAAGCAACCATTTCAAACTCTCAGTACAATCAGACCCAAGAGAAAGTACTTCTTCTCTAACATTATAAACCAAACAAAATAACAAAGAAACAACTCTACAATTAGATTTCTTCCTTGTCTTTAAAAACGTGTCAGCTATAAACATTAAAAAAGAAGTTTATAAAATTATACCAAAGTTCAAAATTCAGACTTCACAGAAGCGATTTTGGAGAGGGACCAGAGGAGGGCCACAAAGATGATCAGGGGACTGGAGCACCTCCCCTATGAGGACAGGCTCAAGGAGCTGGGCTTGTTCAGCCTGGAGAAAAGAAGGCTGCGGGGTGACCTCATTGCAGCCTTTCAGTACCTAAAGGGAGCCTACAAACAGAAGGGGAATCAACTCTTTGAAAGGGTGAATGACAGCAGGACAAGGGGAAATGGTTTTAAGTTGAGGGAGGGGAGATTTAGGTTGGATGTCAGGGGGAAATTCTTTACAGAAAGAATGGTGAGGTACTGGAACAGGCTGCCCAGAGAGGTTGTGGATGCCCCGTCCCTGGAGGTGTTCAAGGCCAGATTGGATGGGGCCCTGGGCAGTCTGGTCTAGCATTAGGTGGAATGGTTGGTGGCCCTGCGTGTGGCAGGGGGGCTGGAGATTTATGATCCTTGAGGTCCCTCCCAACCCTGGCAATTCTGTGATTTTAAGTATCAAGAGAAGAGCTCTAAGCTGGTATCAACTATGGAAGCATGATTGATAATGCTGTCTTGCCAACTCCAGCTACTCAACTGTGCATTTATTTCTTACAGCATTTAAATACTGCTTACACCATGTAAGAATTGGCTGGACGGTGAGCTCTAAAATTTTTAAACTAGAAATCTTTTCTTTTTTCTTTTTACTATTTTGGTTTGGTATAATTCCCCCCCTTCCACTAAAGTGGCTGCTTTTCTACATTTCTCTTAGAAAAATATCTTACCCTGTAAAAGAAAATTGAAAAAAGGAATTAAAAGCTATGATGAATATAATGTATCCTCTTCCTCTTCTCTAATCTAATTTGTGTTTCTGCTCCTCACAGGGTAATAACCATTTTCCATTAAATAGAAATGTTTAGATTAAAAAAAAAAAAAAACTGAACTGCAATATACTTTTAAAATTATGTACCTTTTAGATTAAATTTTAATTTAAGTTTGCAAAACTCATTAATTTGCAAACTGGGGAATGAATATGGAATGAGAGTATTTACGCTATGATGAAACTACACAAATCTGAAGGCTGACATTTTGGAACTTCTGAAGTTAGTATCTGGTAACCAGATGTCAAACATGAGCCACATCTTACCACCTGGCTCTTCTTTCAAGGGGTATGTTTTCAAAACTTCTGAACTACTTTCTAAAATGTGACACTGAGTCTGTGCATACTTTACCAGACATTCTGTATATTCTGCTTAGTGGCACTATTTATTTTTAATGGGCATGGAGGGTTTGAATTGCCTCATGCAGGAATTCTAATGATCTCTCACATGTCACATTTAGAAATTCTGAGTTGAAAGATGTTGGATGCTATTGTGGTGTTCAACAGAAGAGGTGACCATAAAGTTTCTTCAGGAAATTCCTTATATAATTGCATATTATTTTAGCATCTATATTAACATTACAATTAACACAACTATGCATGTCATGAGAAGTTACTGAACCACTGACATATTCTGCTTGCACTACTTCGAGCAAAGAGAGGAAAAGCTTCAGAATACAAACAGTTTTCAATTCACAAGGAAACAATGTTAATATGAAAAAAAAATAATTACATAGGTGTAAATCTGCAATGTATGAACAATCTTCATTATCCTTAAAGAAGCCATTTGCTTCCTTCAAACATAGTCATAAGCTTCAAGATCAGGCATGTAAGAAGAATGTAACTTACCAACATCTCATTCTCCTCTCTCTGCTTTGTATTTCCTTCTTCTGTTCTGCTGCCTTTGGTTTCCAGACATTTCCTCCTTCGTTTATTGCTTTGAGCTTCCTGGTCACCATTTGCTGTTTGCTCTTCCCAGTTTAGGTCTCTGGTTTCAAACACCATCTCTAGCGTCTCTAAATCTTCAGATGCATCATCTAACTCCTTTCTTTTCTTCGGTGCAGGATTTTCACTAAAAGTAATTTTAGTGTCAGTTTTATTACTTGCTATTTCACCACTTTCCCTTCTAAATTGGATGTTATTTTCCTTTTGATGCTGTTCTTTTTCACTGTTCCATGTTGATGAAGCTGAGGATTCAGTGGACTTGGAAACAGGTAACGGCCTTTTCTCCAGTTTTGCTAGTTTGGGTACAGATGTTTCTTCTCCTTCTTCAGTTCTTTCCCTTAGCCATAAAGTAATTACAAAATAAAAAATAAATTACAAAAATGTCTTTGAATATGATTAGCTGCATCAGCAACATAACAGCTTCCTGAGGTTCCAGTGATGGCACTGTGAAGTTTGAGTGTAAATACTCTTGAGAAATAGCTTTCCCTTTTCAGAAGCTTTTCATTAACTCTGTTTTGAATAAAACTTACACCACGTGAGCTATGCAAGAACAGCAATAACATAACAATAAGAAAAGTAGTATCAAAAACCTACCTTTTCCTAGCAACATGGAAGTAATTTGTAATTGAATTAGACTGCTGACGTGGAGTGCACTCTCTAGGTTTATCAACTTCCAAAATTTTAGATGGAGATACTGGATGATTTTTTTGACTAAACCCAGGTGTTCTGTTTACTTTAGCTATTAATGTTCCTGTATTTGCAGTGCCACTTGTGCTAGGGTTCTCCTTTACAGCAGTTTGCTGGAAAGCCCCTTTTTCTCTCCTCTTTGTCTGAGAAGTCGTCTTCTCTATCTCCATACTATAGCAGAGAGAAAAAACGTGTATTAGGTGAATGCACAAAAAGTTACCACTGATATACACTGCTGCATAATACTGCTCTTTAAAAACTCACTTGTACTTTGAATATAAACAATGTATTTGTGCTAACAACTGATACTGTAAAATCTGCTATATTTACTTTTCATTATCACTAATTGGCTTAAAAACTCCAAATACAATTAAGATAGTCAGATACGCAACATCTACATTCCCATTTATTAATTCATATTGTTACTTATCACTTGAAAGCAGAAATCAGCTCACTGCAGGCAACTGACAGCAATTTACTAAGTGCCATTTTGAACACTGTGTGCGCCTTTGTCCATGGCGCTGATGAAGTCCCTCTACCACAAAAGAGTGCTTTATTTGCAAGTTTTAGCTCTGAAACTATTTTCATGCATACTTTACCATGTCTGCTCTTCAATTTCTGTATCAGCTATATATAATGCACTGTTATCTGCAGCAGCAGTTGGCATTATTGTTTCATTCACAGCCAAACTCTGAGAAATGGCTGGCCCGGCTCCTGATGCAGTACTTGCAGTTACAGCTGCAAGATCAACAAAAGAGAAGAATCAAAAGATTAATATTGAATGGTTTTTTTTGCATGTAATATCACATGACCACCTTAACTAATGAGGTAAGACTTTTGGAAAATGGTATTCATAGAATCATAGAATTGCTCAGGTTGGGAAAGACCTTCAAGATCATCAAGTCCAACCATGACCTAACTGTACTACCGTAACTCTAACAACCCACTGCTAAATCATGTTCCTGAGCACCACATCCAAATGGTTTTTAAACGCATTCAGGGATGGTGACTCAACCTCCTCCGTGGGGAGCCAATGCATGCAGTTTTGATTTAAAAAAAGCATGTAGATTTAGTCCAAACAAACAAATAAGCAAACAAAAACACAACTAGAAGAAACCAGATTCTAAATGACTAAGTTCTAGGGTTTGGTTTTGGTTAAATATTCTGTTGAATTAAGAAACAGAATTTTGCTTAAATAAGAATGAAATACTATGGAAAATTTCTTATTTTTATGCTCATAATATATAAATCAGGCAATGCATATTTTATGTCAAACTGTCAGAGCACAAAGTCCACCATCTTTTTACTTTTACTTTTTTATAATTATCTGTTAACACAATCGTTATCCTAGGGATTATCCCTAAAAGTACTAAACTCCTGTTTGTTATCAAAATATCTCACAGTAAACATTTTCTTTGGCCAACCGGCCGTAACTAGGTCATCAAAGGAGTGCCTTAAAAAAACTGCTTGCTGCTGTGTTTGCGTACTTGCATTATTGTTCTGTAGAACCGAAAGAAATGTGTATATACCATCTTTTATATTGTTTGCCCTTTCACTTCTCTTTGTCTTCGCTAAGACAAAGGATACTAAGGTCAACTATTTTAACATATATGTCACATAACTGTCCTTCCAAATATTTACCACTCAGTCCCTTACAATTTTCCTGCATCTCATTCTCGTAAGTCTATGCCAGCACTATCCCATCTTTTGGATGACATGTTTTTATATATGTATTTTTTCCTGCCACTGTACCCCAGAGGAATAACCTACAGAAACATCTAGGCCTCTTTCTCGAGCTTGCACATCTCAAATGCTTTCACATGATTACTACAAGTTAGATGAGCAATATATTAGTATCTTGACAGTCATTGTTGAGCCACAAAACTGGTGAGGATTCTGGAGCACAAGTCTTATGAGGCGCAGCTGAGGGAGCTGGGATTGTTTAGTCTGGAGAAGAGGAGGCTCAGAGGAGACCTTATTGCATTCTACAACTTCCTGAAGGGAGGTGGTGATGAGGAGGGGTAATTTATTTAATTTATTTAGCTATCTGATGTGTGTAATGTGAGAATCCATTTATTTTTTGTTGTTTCCTAAACTTCACTGGATAGACAACAGACTACACATATACAAGAACTCTAGTCAATCAAAACATTTATCAGGCCTCTGCCAGTATTGCTGCCATACCTTTCTCTCTTCAAAATACATTTCTGAATAAGAAATCTCTTACATGTAAAGACAAATTTATGGTGTTTATTGAGTTAAAAAACAACAACAAACAAACAAAAAACCAAACTACACTTAAGTTGTAGGATTTACTACCTGATCTATCGCTTTGTAGAAAAGAATAGAACCTAAAATTATTCTATGAAATTGTCAGAATTATGTATAACAAACTGCATTCTAACAATTTAGGAAGCAGCATGAAAAGAAAATTAGACCAAAAAAATATATTATCTGTCTCCCAAAGACTTTCACTGCTGTTCTATTGGCAAATACAACTTATGTTTCAAGACAAAACATGAAATGTACATTCCCCATACTGTTATTTTAGCAAACATGGCAATACTGCTTCATTGTCTTGACTTGTTACTTTAAGATTAGGTTTGATTTTGAACTGGAAGTGAGGCTATAGGGGATTTCCCTAGAGCAAATTCTTTGCGTGCAAAAGAAAGCAAGCCTTTACAAATTTATTTAGTTCTTATTCTCTAGATTTCGAACGTCAACCTATTATAACTCATTACCCCAGTCTCTTCATAAAAAATTGAATAGCTTGGAATTCACAACTACTATACACATTGATTTAGCAGCTACTAAAACTACCAACTTCAGAATGTTGTTTTAAAGTATCTTTCCTTGAAACATTGAATAACAGCATCCGTTTTTCACTTTAACTTTAGAAATTAGGTCTTTTTAAATATTAAATCTACACCCGTAGGTCACATTGTTTTCAGTGTAGCTTATAGCAAGCTGTTGAGACAACATTTATCTTTTCAGATTACCATACATTTTTCACACAGTGTCATTCTATTTTAGTGGTATTGCAAAATAAAAGAACCTTGGCATTACTACCTGATGTCTTGTACAAAAAAGAAATGCTACTTCATTATTGCTGTTAACTTAGCACTACCCTTCTTCCAATTACCTTTGTTATCAGGCTGCCTCTGGGGGTTGCAGTATCTTTCTGTAGACATGAAAATAACTGCCAATCCAATTTCTGCTTCAGGAATAGCCCTGAGATTGTTGCTGTTAACATACAGAAAGTCAACATGTAAAAATAAGTTTCTCAGTACAGGTTCAAAGCTGAAGAGGCAAACAAGCACATATATGTCAAGATACAAAATGCTCATCACTCATTGCTACTGTACTACAGCCATGAGAAGAGCTTGAATATAGATGTTTTCTCTGTTTAGCAGGGAAATTCACGATGACTAGACTTAACTACTAAGTTGAGGTTAGCGATTATGTTTTCTTTGATTGTTTGTTATACTACTACAAAAATACTAACATCTACAAAACAGGTAGCCTACTCTCTCTGAAAAAAAATATATATATACATATATAATTTATATATATCTATGTAGAACACAAGCTGCCTTTCACAGTCAATATATGTAAGTAGATAGACACCAAAGAACCACATAGCTTCAAAGTGCCCCGTACTTCATGGCAAACATGAAGTATGTATGACTATTGAAAAAAGAATCAAAAATTATATATCCCCCATTTCTAGAATACATTCATTTTTAACTTTTTCTAAACAGCAGAAAGAGTTTGCCTTCTCTAATTTCAAACCAACTGAATTGAGCAGAAGAGCTTCCAAAAAACCACCCAAATCTATAACTGCCAAATCCTTTCTTTCCTCCTTCAAGAAATTTTAGTTACTGTGCTGTGTACTTAAAACAGTGCCCATCCGGGTACTAGTACATTCATACATATGCAAATACAATGACTAAAATAACTGCAGAAATTCTAAAACAATCCCCTTCCTGTGCAAGAGAACAAATATTCACCTTTCTAAGACAGTCAGAATGGAATCAGTCCAGTTTCTCATGGACTCAGATCCTAGGATCTGAGAGTTTGTCATCCCAACATCAACAACACAAACTTCAGGAGAAACCAGTAAAGAAGTTTCTTTTCTTCCCTCTGTCATCAGTTTTGCTTCTCCTCCTCCAAGAATAACTGCTGGACCCAGTTTCTTGTGCTAAGAAAAGAATGTAATTAAAACGATCTTAAAAAATAGTCTGTTGAGAAGTATGCTAACCTACCAGCAAAAATCTCATTGCTCATATATTAATGCAGAAATGATATGTTCTGTTTCTACTCCTGCATTTGATCTTAATTAGACTGTTGTCTTGTAAAAAGATAAAATAGATAAAATCTTTCCTGATGGCCCCAGAATGAGTCAGGATCCAGAGAAAACAGAATATATGCTTAGCTGTCCCCTAACATCTTTGCACTGTAAAGCCCAGTTACCTGCTTGGCAGTCAGAAATACAAAAGTTTTTCCACTGAATATTTTTTTCCTTTCAGGATGTCCAGATAAATCCATGTTATCAATACCAATGGAAGGCTCATCAACTGAAGGATAAAAGCTGTAAAAACCAATATTAAAGTTACAAAATCGAGATTTTTGTATCAGTACTAATTGATAGTCCCTTCTGTTTTAATTTTAAGCTGGGAAGTTAAAATACTTCACTGCTTTGTTTCTGTTAAAACTATTCATATAAATATTTTTTCAAGTGATTAAGAAAAAACAGAACCTCTTGTTTCTCAGGATCTAAGCTTAGACCAACACTTACAGTCTCAGTAAGTAAAAGAATAATTTTTGGAAAGTATTCAACTTTCCGATCTTAAAACATCAACTACATCTACATTCTCCACTAACAATACTGACAAACTAGATTGCTATCTCATTCTGTGCTTTCCCAGACATATTGCTTCCACTACCCTTCACTTAGGACAGCCACTCCTGTTTATCTTGTATTGGACAGAGAACATCATGTTCTACCATGCTGTGTGACAGCCTATTAATGTGACAGAAAATAAGCACACTTTTTTTTGCTGGTGGCATAGAGAACTGAACTGATCATCTGCAGTGTTTGTCTTCTAATCATCTTAGTGTTTGTACAGTCCAGTACAAGGAAAATGATACTGTGCTTAGGGCTTAGATCAGGTAGAAGTCTAATCTGACGTTCTAACTTTTGTGATCTGTGATCTCAGCTCTAATTAATGACAGCATGCACTCATCATAAGAAATGCTTCTAGAATAAAGACAAGCATTTTACTGATAATGAACACTATTTACAGGCTCTCAGAGCCACACGTTCTCTGCTACAGCAGACTCAGCACACCACAGTGAAGGCATACGCTCAAAAGGAGTGAGAGCACTGGTGCACAGTTTGTCCACGTGCTCTGGCAGAGCTTATAATGACTTATCATTATCCTGATCACTGATCAGACATCCTGACTGCTGAAACACAATCCCAGAATCTGATTTAACAGCTCAAGAAATTACATATACCTGTGTACAACATACAAATGTATATGCTACAAAATTTTTCTTTTCCTAGCAAAGATTCTCAGATTTTAAGCAAGAAACATAATCCATGAAATTCTGAAATCTTTAAGTCCCTGAAAAAAACTATGCACTACACTGATATTTTCAACATCTGCAAACATTAAAATCACTCTCCTCAAACTCTGAGAATATCTGCATAATTAAGGTGGAACATAATAAGGCTGTACATTTTCTACTGTGTTCATATCCAGAATTCAACGGTGATAGACCAGAAGACACCAAAATAATTATCGTTAATTTTAAATGACCCTCTTATCTTCTTCCAATTAATTCCTCAAGGTTCATGTACACAATTAATAAACATGTACCTTTTCAAGGTACAAATAATAGCAATACAGATGAAAGTCCCTCATACAATAAAGGGACTATTTTATGCTTTTCTACATGGACCACAGAATGACCAAATGGCTATTATGATCTTTTGGACCTCTGGAATAAATAGAGTGACCAAAATAACAATTATTTACTCCATAGTAAAAATATACTTTTCAAATTATTTTAACAGTATTTGATTCTCACATTAGTCTCACTTTCTCAAAAGAAAAGAAAAGAAAAATGTTATTTTGGTCAAGTTAACCTGCTTTGATCAAAATTCACAAGCTCTTTTCTCATGTGACAAATGACAGAATGCAAAAAATGATCTCAAGATGTGCTAAGGGAAGTTTATTGGGCATTAGAAGTAATTTTTTTCACTGAGAGAGTGGTCAAGCATTGTAACAGGCAGCCCAGCAAAGAAGTGAAATCCCCAACCCTGGAGGTATTCAATAGGCAGGTAGATGCAGCATTGAAGAACATGTTTTAGTGATGGGATGTGGTAGGTCAGGCTGGATTGATGATTGGACTTCATAATCTTGAAGGTCTTTTCCAATCTAAAGAATTTTACAATTCTATCACTAAACTCATAATCTAACTGTTTACTGGAAGAAATTTTTTTAAATAATGAAATAGGGTTAATAAGGTGTCTTTCACACAAATCTAATTTTCTTCACTTTAATCTATCAACTCCCAAAAGAGTTTCAGTGGTGCTTCAAACACATCACCATAGAGATTGCTATAGCAACCTTTCTGAAAACAAGTTCCTGTCTAGAGCTAGTAACATCTCTAAGCATATAATCAAATCCAAGAGCTCACCTTATGAGTCTAGATATGAGAAAAAAATTGCCTAAAGATTAAAATGGTAGGCATTCTTCCACAAATAAAGCTACTGTAATTCACATATTCTGCCAAGTATCAGCAGATAAGTGTGCAATTATTTGGTAATCTAACTCACATAAAATTAATTCTGTGACACTGAAAGCAATACTTACTTTTCAGGAGTCGGCAATTGTTGCCTGGACTGAACAGCCTTCATTAATTCATTAAAAAACTCTGGTTTTACAATTGGTCGTCCACAAATCAAAGCACATATTGTCTAGGAAGAGAGAAGACACACTTAACATACAGAAAAAGCCTAACTAGAATATGGTTCAACTGACTGTAGCTTTACAATATCTTAGATCACACAGACATCTGTACACATCAAATCACGTGTGTGTGATGTGAACAGCATCGCACAGATATAACTGTACTTGTTTTTGCTATGGAAAAAAATGTCAGTTTTACTTCTAACAGCACACCTTTTAGCTGCTGTCACTGAAATTATATATGGCAACTAATGAAAAATCAGCAACAGTCTTCACGAGAACTAAAGCTCCAGTAAACAAAGCAATCATAGTATATTGTTGCTGCTGTTGTTTGTTGGGTTGGTTTATTGTCTTTTTGTTTCTTTTTGTCTACAAAGTGACTAAATAAACATTAATACTCAATTTGTACAGTTATACTGGATATAACCAGTGAACTCGGAATTATAAAGGCTACAATTCTCCCCAAATAAAGTGCACCTCTGTGAAACTATCTGGAAGTTAACATAAAAAACTAGAAGAAAGATGGTAACAAGCAAGATGAATACTAAAAACTCTGTCCTTCATTGAAAAGTAGAAAACATCAGTAACAATGGAAAAAAAACAGTAAACATCAAGCCTCAACATTAGGCAAATACTTAGAATGATTAAAATCTAAGCAAATACTCTCTGATTAGACAGATTAATTTTACAAAACTAGAATAACGTAAACTTTAATGTTTCTATTAACTGAGATAAGAAGTTCCATAAATCAGAAAGAAAAAAAATTGCACAGGCTCTCTCCAAAAGAGAATGAATTTTTTGTTATTGTTCTTTTTTAACCATCCCAATACCCCCAGTAGGCTGATGCTAGCTTTTCCTCCAGGTGAGCTCTCTGATCCTAATTACTGTACCGCTATATGAAAGCCACAGTCAGGAGAGGGAGCTACAGTACAGTGGGAGAAGACTCAATATATTCATGAACTGTGGAACTGAATCAGTGAGAAATTTAACAAAGTAGTAAAAGAAAGACCAGAAAAAAACAAACAAAGAGAACAACTGCACACAGAAAAGAACCAACACTTTTTAATGACAGATAGGATTTCCCACAAATGCTACAGCAACACTGAGAGGGAGGAAAAAAGATTTTTCTTCACTTCTCTTAATTTCTTAATTTTCAAATACAACTTTTTCCCCTGTTCAATTTTTATTTCATTTTAAAATGGCGTTTAGGCCAGAGAGACACCTTTCTGTCCCCATCCTCCCTCACTCCCTTTTTAAATTTTTTTTCATTTTCTTTCCCTCCAACATGCATCTCTTCATGAAGTTGGAAGAGTTGACTTCACAGAGGAAAATGCTGTCTAACTAAAATAAAATAAAGCTTTGCCACAATCTTGAGCAGGTCTAGATTTTACATTAACAAGAAAAGTCAACATACCTTAACAGTAACTTTTACTGATGCCATTATTAGGTGAGTACATTCTTTTGTCCATTCATTCACAACAAGCCCTCCGAGCTGCTGGATGGCTTCATTTAAAGCATTTTTCTGAGCAGCATCTAAACATGAGGAGCAAACAACTAAAGATTCATATTCCACTCTGCAAAGAACAAGTAGACGAGAAATGCTTTAGTAATTGTAGTAGCACTATGATCAACAAGGCTGTCTTATGAGTCACTTCTGTTTCACACAGAATTCTAATAAATACATAAACAGACCCCTGTAATTCTTATACTGTGCTTTAAATTGTCTTGATGAAAGTAAATAACTAATTTTTATTGAGAAAAATAAGCGGAATTTTGATTTGATGTTTCAAATGTTTATTCTTGAGACTTTTGATTTCAAGAAAGAGCACACACCCTTATCAGAATCAGTGCTTGAATTACACTGCAAGGTTTGAGAACCAGAAACACTGGATGAAATCCAGCATGTATTCCCAAAAGCAAAAAGTATGCTCAACAGAACAGTTCATTAACAGATTAGTATTTGAAAGACATGAGTTTTGTAGAATGCAAGCTCAAGAAACTTTTTTCTTCTTACACCTATTGTTATTTGTAGATTGTCCATTTAGAATTAGAGAATATCAAACTCTATGATTTGAATTGGTGTAGGCTACGAAGGAGAAAATATTTTTCTAATCATATCAATCATGGAAGTCATGATGTCACACATCTTTTAAAACACCAATGATAAATAAACTACATTTTTCTTAATAAATTAAAATAATTTCAAAATGAATTATTATAAAAATATGTACTAAAAGAGGGTTTCAGAAGCAGGACGCAGAACACAGAAAAGTATTATTTGTTTCCTCTGCTTCCTAAAAACTGAACAGGTAAATTCCCTTAGCATTCTATCACCATCAAGTTGGATGATGTGCTAAAACACTCTTTTTGAAAGCTGTTATTTTCCACTTAGTAGTTTATTATCAGTCTGAGTACCTCTTACCTAAACTTGCTCTCAAAGACTCCAAAATTTACTCTGTCACCAGACTGCAAAGACCTTGAAGTGCCACTCAATTTTGATCCATTAACAAAAGTACCATACTTGGAAGTGTCTTTGATTGTTAACACGGGGACTGAAACAGACTGGCTCTGAAAATAAACATAAATAAGTCTTGGTAGTTCATCAGAAACAGGTTACATAAAAGGGATTCCGGTTCATTGGCTTCAAAATATCCAGAGAAATTGCAATACATAATCAATACTGAAGTGCTGTTTGCCGATTCTCCTTGGAACATTTTTCTTTTCCACATTCCCCTAAACAAATACAGAATTAATGATGTGGAGTGAAACATGCATTCCACATCAAACCCACAGTAATAAAATGGAAGCACTTTCCAGAACTAAGTTCTAAAGTTCTTCTATAAACTGAAATGTAATTGCATGATTTTCCTGCTTTGATTACTTTAATACAAATTTCTAATCAACTTTCACTCTGAGATAAAAGGAATGCCCAAATAGGACCCTGGACCATTAGATCTATGTCAATGGATTTATCAGTACAGACAAGCAACCCAGGGGGAAAAAAAAAAAAAATAAAAATCAAGACTAAGAAAAGACATATGTCCAATGGTTCTACTCCAGCTTCACTGTCATGGTATTCTGAGTTAACAATGCTGAGTATTTTTAATGCAGTAAAATGCTGGCTACTTACATGGGTTGTTTCAGGACGACTTACTGTCAGAACTGCATGACTTCGACTGATTGATTGATCATCCTGAATTAAAATAGCACAATTTTTGCGTCCAACAACATATTCGGTACCAACTAAAAGTCGAAACGGCTCTCCTAAAAATAAACAAGAGACAGAAAAATATCAATTTACAAGAAACTCCAAAACACTCAAAGTTCTTAGGATCAATTCAGAAATTTGTAAAGTATCCAACCCTTGTCTATACCTTGTCATGTACCATTTATTAGCCTGACCACAATTGTGCTTTTAATTTTTAGACAAAACCCGTTTCTTCCTCTGTCTGTTATGAAAGGATAGCATTTCATAATTAATACAAAATAAACAAACAAAAAAAACAGTAACAGAAGCAGTGGCACTATATATTTGTACTAATACCTATTTCTTTTATCTCATATTACTTCTTCACAGAACTACAAAAACACAAACTTTACAGGTACATAACTTACTAACAGTATATAACTCAGGGACTGTTTGAAGTGCTTCAGACAAAAATGCCTCCCTAAAGGATGCTGAAAGATCTGCATTGTAAATCAAACAGATACTTAGTCAGTTTGGTCTCTGACCTATGCTGTAGCTTTTTGTCATATAGATCACTTAAGAGTGCATGACTCAAAGACATCCAAGAGGTATGGGTCACTTATGAGCAGTGATTCAGAAGTTTTTCTTGATAAAAATGAATGAATTAAAGATGAAATTCTAATACAAATAACTGTCCAAATAAGAACAACGCAGAACTCATCATCCTGACTACAAGGACGATACCAATGTTTTGGCTTTTGCTGGAGTGGTTTCCAGACAGTAAGAGATCAAATTCTGTTCATTTCAGTACAAATAGATGGTGCTATCACTAAGATGCACACCAAGCATCATTAAGTCAATTCCAATGAAGCAAGAAAAAAGAGATACAGCGGTGATGTGACTGTTTTTTTTAAGAAAGAGAAAGCATTCAAGTGAAAAAGCTGCTTTTGCATTATGAAATACCCATCTTCAAAGCTGGTCAATAAATCAAAACTATGGATAAAGTTATGGATAAAGAAACTGAGAAACAACGGTGCAGTGATGACTGAAAACTGCGTTCAAGAAACAACACAAAGTTTCAAGTTCAACACTTGGTCCCTGAAACATCAAGTAAAGAATAAAAGTCTGTAAAAAGTCAGACATCGTCCCTGGAAGAAGAGACTGAGTGACCTCTGCCTGTGGGCTCAGCTCTTCAGGTCCGGCAGGGCAGCACCGCGCTGACTCCGCTGGCGGCAGCAACCCTGGGACCCATCGCCAGCAAAGCTAACAGGGTACGTCTGCACTACCGCCAGCAAGGATAACAGGACAAGGCCTCCGCGATCAGGGTTCCAGTGAAAAAGGGAGCCCTGCCGGTTACTGGAATGGAAAGCGAAAGTCGAGCCTGTAGGCGAGCCAGCTTCCAAGGAGGAGGTGGATAGGGCCGGCCCGAGCCCAGGCGCGGGAGAGGCGTGGAAGGGCCCCAGCCCCGCAATGCCCTCACCTGGTCGTGCGGCGGGCACCAGCTTCCACATCCTGAGGCCGGCGGGAGCTCCGCGGTGAGGAGCTGCGGTTCCCCGTGGAGCTGTGCTTCCCCGGTGCTCCCCGCCCTGCCGGCGGTCGGGCCGGGAACGGAGAGCCGGTGTTTCTTTGCCGCCCAACCGGCTACCGCGCCCTGCCGTGCAGCAAAAGCAGGGAGCGCCGCGTGGCGGCGGGCGGGCGGCACAGCCGGTGCGGCCACTACAGCCGGCATCGGCGGGCATGCGCGGCGGCGCGGAGGGGGCTCGGCCCGCCCCAGCGAGGGCTGCGCTGCTCGGCCTGGGGCTGAGCCCTCCTATCGGAGATGTATCGGGAATGTGGTTTTGGTGGAATCTTAATTTGTGTAATAGAATCATAGAATGGTTTGGGTCGGAAGGGACGTTTAAGTCCCAACCCCCTGCTGTAGGCAGGGACACCTCCCTCAAGACCAGGTTGCTCACAGCCCCATCCAGCCTGGCCTTGAATGCTTCCAAGGAAGGGGCATCCACAGCCTCACTGGGCAACCTGTTCCAGTGTCTCACCACCCTCACAGTAAAGAATTTCTTTCTAATATCTAATCTAAAGCTACCACCTTCCACTTTAAAGCCACTTCCCCTTGTCCTGTTGCTGCCTGCCATTATAAAACATCCTCCAGCCTTCCTGCAGGTCCCCTTCAGGTACTGGAAGGCTGCTAAAAGGTCCCCCCAGAGCCTTCTCTTCTCCAGGCTGAAGAGCCCCAGTTCTCTCAGCCTGTCCTCACAGGGAAGGTTCTTCAGCCCTCTGATCATCTTCGCGGCCCTCATCTCCATGTACGATGACTTTAAGCATTCTTTGTCCTTAAATGTTCCCTTTTAATATTTTCCCTCCTGCACTTCCTCTGAGATAAATGGCTCCAGTTTTTTTAATACCTTTTGGGACAAGTTTTCTTCATCACTTTTACTCATTTTTTCATTCCCTCATAATTTTGCAATTTCCATTTTGCACTAGGGTGACCAAAATCTATGGTGTATCCTAGATGAGGCTATATTTCAGCTTTGTATAATGGTACTTCAATATTCTCTGTACTGTTCATTATCATTTTTCTGGCTTATTTATCCTTTTGGCTTGGCTTTTGTGATAACAATTTCATATGACAAATCATCATCATAAGAAACTGTATGAATCCTGTAAACCATATAACAACATTTGTACTCTCAATTTCCCTGCATTTATCCAACTTTATCTTCTGCTATCATTTTCCTATTGATTCCCATTTACTTTCTAGACTTCTCGAGTTTCTCACTGGTCCTCCAATCCTGATTGATCAAAGGAATGCTTGTTCTTTAAGTTTTTGGTTCTCCACATATTCCTTTATTTTCCTGATCAAAAATGATTCATCAGGGTTCAAAACTTAATTTCCTCAGTGACTACCAGCACAGAAGGAGGCCTTTCAGAAACCCATACAGGCAATAGTCTTAACTCAGTACATTAACTCATGAAATAGAACCAGAGTCCATCAAGCCCAGTGAAACAGTATCTAAATAGAACATTGAGGTGATCCACCATTCATCTTTTCCCTGAACACAAGCATAGACCTTCACCATTACTGTGTCTTCAGTGCACTAGCTTTCTCCTTGATACTTACACTCAGCTGGAGGTTTTTTTTCTTAGTACTCTCTTGTATCAACAGTTTCTTGGACTATTTCTAAACTGTATCATGAGGGGTTAACATTTCTTTCATTGGCGTACTTTGAATGGCAGAAACTGTAGGAATCCAAGTTTACAACCATTGTCACACCTGGCCAGGCCCTTGGAAGCCCGAATGATGTTTGCCAACACTCACATACTGATTTTCTCATGGCATTTCTATGACACATTATTGAGGCAATTGTCCCTGCAGAAGACCAGTGCCAGTTAGATGCTTTCAGACCACACTTTTTTAACTGCTACTGCTTTTAATGACTTTTTTTTCACCTACAGATGTTACATTTACATTTTTACAATTGCTCAGGTTACCCCACAAAATTAAAAAAAATAATAATAATTAAAAAATGGGTACTTTTTGCCCTGTAAACCTCCCAACTTGTTATCAATCAGAGATTGGATGCTTGAATGGAAGTATTCTTAAACTCTTCCTATACTCTTAAGTACCACCCAAACTGAAGATTATTCATGAAGTGTCTTTCGAATAGCACGCAGGGCAACTCGAGGTGATGGCAGAAGCCGAGGCCGGAGGGGCGCTGCAGACCCGGACTCGCCGCCCCGCCCGCTCCAGCCGCCGAGGCAGAAGCGCCCCTCCCGCGGCCGGGCAGGGCTGAGAGGGGCCGGGGAACGGCCGCTCCGCACCGCCCCGGCGCACACCCCCACCTCCGGAGCACAAGATGGCGGCGGCAATGATCGGCCGGAGCGCTCTCCGCGGCAATGGCTCGATCCGCTTCCCCGGCACCAGACGGGTAAGGCGCCGCCCGCTCTCTTGGAGCCGAGGGTGGGCCGAGAAATTCTCAGGGCTGGGGTACTCCCATACCCTCTCAGCGCCCCGTGCTCCCCGGGACGCGCCTCCCGCCTGTTTCTCCCCGCTCCCCTTCGGGCACGCCGGTATCTGCTGCAGGAGCGCACGATGCCATCTGGGTGAAAGGTCGGAACGGTGCCACCCCCGCTTCGTGGGGGCGTGCCTTCTTAGGAAAGACTTCCTCCGGGAGCCTTTTGTGGTAACTGCGTGATTTACTTCCACCACCTGCGTACGGGGGAGTTTGTTTTTTTTTCTGCTGTTCACGTCGCCTGGCTTCTTTATACCTCTCTTTATGCCTGTAATTTAATTTAGAACCTTGACGTTAAGTGCTGGGATGGTTACTTAGAATAAATCCTCTCAAGGAAGCCCTTTGTGCAAAGTAGTGACGAGTCCCCGAGCAGACTGCTTTAACACGTGGGCTCGATGCTTTCGGAGACGTTCATTAGCTTTGGTGCAATACCCCGTGCTCCTGCTTTCTATCTGCCTCCTTCAGCAGGAGCTGATTGCACAAGCTCTGTGGTGAGCAGGGGAGGCGGCTGTGTCCATCATCACCAAACCCTTTTGGAGAGTTTATCCCACTGACCTGATTGAAAGAGAGTCCCAGTGGCACCTCGACTCCAGCTGATAGACTATTCAGCTATTGCTAACAGTGTCACCTATTAATTTCAGTGTTGCAAATGGGAGTTTGTACATGCCACAAGCTATTTATTGTTCTATTTGTACTGTTTTGAAGTAGCCTTTCCTCCTTCAACACATTTCCTGTTGGCATAACAATGTTATGTTTTTATGAGCAGTGCCATATAAAAGTAAACACAAAATTTTCCTAAAATTATACTAGAAGCTTCTGTAGTCAAAAGGATGCATTAAAGACTCAATTACAAATTAGTACTGGAGAAGATAAAGATAGCTGAAGTTCTCCTAATTTTTCTCACTTAAAGAAATAACTGAATTTTGTTGTAGTTAGAAATGTTTTCAGTTCCAGATTCAGGTAACTTTCATATTCCAAGTAATCTGTGAATTTCTTAACTATTTATGTAATGCTGCTGTGCCAAGTCATGTCATTCAGTTTGAGGCTCTACTCCAGTATTTGAGGATTACAGAAATGCCCTCTTGACTGTTTTTCTTGGTGAAACTACAAATTACTTTTTGCTTACACCAGAGTTGTGTAACTTATTGCATGTACTAGTATTATAAGATAGTATTGCATACTGTTTTCTTAGAACATGTATTACTGAATGTAATAAAGAATTTTCTTCTCTGGTGTTGTTTTTGTGGGTTTTTTTGTTTGTTGTTTTTTGTTTGTTTTGTTTTTAGTAAGTACCAACCACACATTTGCTTGCAAAAATTAGCTAGTTGATCTAGGGCTAACTTGCTGTAAATGGTATGCAGTATGTATATGAATGTGAAACTCAAATCCTACTGTAAATCTAGTAATTAACTGGTATTTCCACATATATGAGCAAAACAGACAGCCATAATGATAGCTAACATTTGAAATAATCAAAATTGTGATTAAAATATATATTCTCAGTATTTTTGTAGTTGGAATGGAATGTCTAAAAGTGGCTTAGTTACTTTACTAGTTTAGGGTTTGTTTGATATTATGGTGCGCTTTTAGTAACTTCAACATAAATGCAAGCTATGCATTTTTGTATTCAGTTTGCGTAACAGGAAGGTAGCTATAAAGTTGTTACTTTCACAAGCAAATCTAATCTTTATTAACGGTCCTTTAAATGGAAATAGAATTTTTTTTCTTTTTCTTTCTTTCAGTTCTTCAGCCGTGGACCAAATGTGTTGCTGCAAGAGAGCAAAGCTCCACAAGCTGCTTTCTTTTCACCTCTTCAAAAAGTGATGTTGCCACCAAATTCCTTTCAAGGGAAAGTGGCATTTATAACTGGTGGAGGTACTGGGATTGGCAAAGGCATGACAACAGCTTTATCCAGTTTGGGTGCCACGTGTGTCATAGCAAGCCGGTAAATATTAATGAACACATTTTAGAGCTTTTAGTGTTGAGTGCTGAATGGATCTGGTTTCCTTTCTTCGCAAGCTGGATAAATTTATTTTATTTGCTCTCTTAATTTATTTACTCTGGTTAATTTATTTACACTGTTCACTTTTAAATTATAGTGTAGCATGGGAAAGACCTGATGAGAAGACTTTGAAAAATCTTGTGTGTTGGAGCAGAAAAATAAAAACCCAGAATACTAGACATAAATTCCACTAACGTGTAAAAGAGAGCACAAAATTGAAATGGATGTTATTGAACACTTCTGTTTTAATATGTGTTCATTATACAGGTTTTAATAGCAACAAAGAATTAAAATAATTCCTCTTAATACTTGACAAAGATAAGTATTTTTATACAGTTTAACAGAACTTTATACAATTCTGTTAGTGAAAACGAGAAAAGTAAAAACAAGAAAAGCAGTTTCATTTTGAAAACAAAATTAGTGTTCTGACATTCTTCCAAGTAGCAATTTAGATATTTGAAATCCGGCCCTTGTAAAGTGTTAGCAGAGCAGTACATAAAACTGGATTTATTATTATTATGTACTGAATAGGAAAGTACTTAGCTAACTTACTACATTCGATTAGTTTAAGATTGTTCTTCTTCCATAGTCATTTCTCAGTTACTTTTAAGTAGTAATGAACAGAAGGTACCTAGATTTTTTAATTAACTTTCAGAAAATTAGTAACTAAATGTTTTCATTTTGAAGCTGTTTTCACGAAAATTTTCACTATGCACAAACACACACGCATCACTTTTTAAAACTTAGCTCGTATCTGCTAAGAAAGGATTCATCAGCTTTTTATTTTTCTGAATTGTAATTGCATTTAATTGAAAGTCACTGATATATGATTATTTCTAGAAAGCTTGATGTTTTGAAAGGAACGGCGGAAGAAATTTCTTCTAAAACAGGGAATAAGGTAAATTTTA